GCGAGTAATCACCCCGCAATGCGCAACGCGCGGTGACGTCACGAGCGGAGCCGAAGAGAGCCGAGCGGAACCGAAGATAGCCGAGCCCCGTAACCTGGCAACTACGCAATGCTAATCAACAGCGGTGACGTCACGCTAGCAACAGCGTCCTATGCTATACGCCACGTCACACTAGCAACAGCGCAAGGCTATATAAGCAGACTCCACAGCAGTGTGATCATCAGTTGAAACATAGCAGCCTGCGAGTGAGCGATAACTAAGAAGTCAGCGAGCGGAAGACGTATTGTGTACTTTCAAGACATAGTGAGTGCTGTAGTACAGTTGTACTCGGAGTGTGTATTTCAGGGAGACTTGTATAGCTCCCGCGTTAGTAGTACGTGAAGACAAGTGAAGACAGTGTTAAGAGATTTGTTGTAGGGTTTGTAAATTGTGGAAACCCGTAATATTGTGATCATTAATTATAGCCGTTATTTGTAGATTGTTAAATAAACCCAATTAACCATCTCTACGGAGTCTTCGGTAACGTAAACACGTTACACTGGTGTCAGAAGTGGGATCGGTAACGGAAACACGTTACAATATTATTTATGACACTAATTATATGAAATCTAAGAAAAGTATGCAAAAGTCAAATACGCGCTATTTGGGCTCAAAATTCAATACACAGAACTGTGACGTGATGGAAACTCTGCGTGTCCCGATATTGTATCAGCTTATCGGAATTAGTTCAACAAGTCCGTTTTCTGTTATGTTACCGTAGCAGCCTTGTGCAGCAGTGAAAACACGTAACAGTGATAACACAAAAAACTAAATCCATGGAAGAGAGTCCCTGTGAGCCTGATAGCCCCTCGGCCAGTCAAGAAATTTCCGTCGTATATGACATTGAATGTTCATTCTCGCCTTCACAAAAGTCCTTTACTGATACAAACCAGCACCACATGAATCCAGTGCATACTCTCAAGTCCCGACGAAGTGTGACAAAAAATTTTAATTCAATGGTCAGATTACGAATCAGTTCTACCTGACAAAAGTATTGTGACGTATAGATTCATTGCTAGGCAACGACTCGATGAACACCTACCCGCGAGAGATAACGCGCGCAACAATTGGATGTCTATTGCTACGCAATGGATCAGTAATGAAACCTAAAACAATACGAGGCAATAGAAAACGGTGTTTTTCGTGGGGTCCGCCCTGAGGCTATATAAAACGAAGTTCCAAGTGAGCACTTAGTTAAGCCGTGTGGAGGGGGGGGCGGTCGAAGACCTCCACCGTGACCCTGCGAATCGTAGGAGGCGACGAAAATGGAAGTCTCAAATCTGAGACAGTAAAATATGGTCACGGGTCCCAAGGGACTCGGACCGAAAAAGAATGAGCTGGTAGGGGCCAGCAGTCAGAGAGGGCGCCCAACAATAACAAGACCGTAATTGTCAAACAGTAATAAATATCTGGTCATGAGCCCCAGATGGGGCTCAACACCAAGACTTACTGACTGACTGACCGTCAGTCACAATGTGACTTTGACTTTGAACAGTTAGTTCTTGTCAGAAGCTGGGATTGTTCAATTGAAGAAAGTTCATTTGAGTTAGTTGTCAAGAAACGGGTCGAGTTCTGGAAATGAATCTAAGCTGATTGAGAAAAAAATGGCAAAAAAGGAATTTGACGGTGACTAGAAGACTTCATGTGTGATTCGAAGTTACAGTGAGACTATGCTAAATCCGTTGCCAGGATACGACTAGTGAAGACTGAGAATCCTAGTGCGTGAGCAACGGTGAACTGTAACGTGCGTAGAATAGCGATATCTCTGTATTGCCTGTAGTCCCGAATTGTGTGAGTAAGGTGTCAATAAATCCAATCATCCAATCCAGAACCAGACTAATAAGTCACGCACCCCCCACCCTTCTTACACATAATAATATCAACAGTTTGAAAGCGTAATGAGATGAACGCTTTCGTATTTAAGAGACAATGAACCAAACTGTGTATATTTATAAATCTTATAAAATCTTGCAGTGTGTACTCCTCCTGCCTTAAGTTAAATGTTAACAGGTATTCGATAATGCTTAACAATTATGTGGTGTATACATAAATACATATAAGCCATGCCTTTCCCACAGCCTGAGACCGCTGTGAACAAGAGTGGGAACGCAGTGCTGAGGATTGATCTGTAAAAGTGTGACTTCATTGCTCGCTGCATATACTGCTTCATTACCAGACTGTAAAGTTTGCGTCCTTTATGTAATGTTATGTTTTAGCGTCCTGTTGCACTGATTTAAGTCCATGATTTATTTCAAACGTCTTCCAGTGCATACAATCATCTATCTCCTCCTCTAACTTGCACTACATGTTTCAGCACAAAAGTGCCAAGTATAAGACACGCAGTCACAGGAGCAAGACACAACAAAAAGCACAATACACACACGATAGTGAAAGAGTGCTCCAACAGAAGAGGATAGGTGTGACTCGCGTAGTGAGATACGACGTAGGGATGAAAAATCCTGAACAATTTTAATATAATAATATTTTTAACATTTAACATTTATCAATATACAGTAGAACTTGGTTATAACGTCATCAAAGGGACCTAAAAATAGTGTCGTTATAAACGAATGTCGTTGTAACCGAAATGGGCACTTCCACAGTAGCCTTATGTTAGTCACGTCAAAAATCTACCAAAACCGAGTTAAAATGTTGCATTTTTTAGTGAAATACGTAGTTAAGTACAGACTAACGTAACATTAACGTGGAATTGCCCAAATGTGTAATATCAAAGACATATTACAGCGCTTTTCACTGACAATACACACAATATTTCACGAATCACTTTAACTTTCTCTTCAATGCTTAAAACTTTCCTTTTCATTGCCATGTTTTCGCTACTGCACTTCTCTGGGTTTAGGCAGGAACACTATAGGGTAAGTAGACAATGTGAGGTCCTGTTAGACGAGATTCTAGGAAAGGAATGCAGTTAACAACCTGCCGCGTCCTCTTGCACTATTCACGCAGTCCCACCCCACACCCTTGTTTTCGCATAAAACCCACGCTCCTCTTGCAGCCCGCGGTCGTATTCTTCCAGGACAGTCACGTCAGCAAGTAGAGAAAGTGAGGGTGGGCAGACACATCGAACTTTCCCACGATATCAGAGAAATTCAGGAATGAAAATGACGTTACATACGAGGTTGATGCATTTGTGCATGTCGTACTAAGCAAGGTATAAAAACAGTTGCTTTATGAGGAATTAGTTCGTACCATTGAATATTTGACGCAATAGACAAGGTGTCGCAGAAACCGATGTTGCTATAACCAAGTTTTACTGTATATGATAAATATATATTTTAGTTATTTTAATATGAAGACGACAAGGCATGCAATGAACTAGTTTAGCGTAAATCGAATAAGCACCTGAAGATGGCACTTTTGTGCCAAAACATGTAGTGCAAGTGAGAGGAGGAGATAGATGAGTGTATGCACTGGAAGACGATTGAAATAAATCATGTCCTTTATGTAGTTTTACGTTATTCTGCTGCAGAGATGTAAGCCAGCAAATGGTTTGTGCGTGGGATTGTGGGTTCCAATCACACTTGAGGCAAAAATATCTGTGTATATTCTGTGCTTGTGTTGTCCTGTGTAGGTAGCATCCTTGCAATGGGCTGATCCCCCATCCAAAGAGTCCTACTAACTGTGTATAGAGGTAAATATAAAGTTGTCCCTGTGCTTAGCTAATTAAGCACTACTCCATGAAGGCACAGGGGAGAATGGATGTATAGATCCATATTTTCTTGACCTGGGCATTAGTTGGAGGTGAGTGGTCAGGTTCATGACCCAGTCACTTTACCACTGAAGAAAGAGGGCCCCGGTACCCATTGGAAAGGAGGCTGGGTGGGCCCCAGAGCTGGTCTAGACGAGGTAGAGAAGAGAAAATTCTTGACCCTACCAGGACTCGAACTCCGACCTCTCAATTATCCAGCCCATAGCCAGCCACTATAATAACTATGCTCTCCCAGATTAAGAAACTGAAGAAAGTGGCTAGGGCCCAAACTTGGCTCTAGAGTCGTGGACATGGCAGTAGCGGCGGTGGTGGCGGCAGCAGCAGTAGTGGTAGTATCCTAATTATTAATCATCATCTCACATGATTCTAATGAGATGTTGCAAAGCTCCATAGCTTTGTTCCGAACTTGGAGGCAGTAATGTTAATTCTTCATAAACTGAAAATCATGGATCCATGTGAAAGTTGCTAGTGTGGTGGGACTAAGTCCCTTGTCCTGCAGCCACTTCTGGCCTATTGTACCAATGTGAAATTTCCTCACACTGTTTAGAGATTATGTATCCATAATATTTTTTTACAGAGATATCTCATTATTACATATTTCATTTTTCCAGACATACAGTATTACACTACATATTCTTTTGAAATGCAAATTAAACATTAAGATTTGAATGCACATATGAGAGAAATATTGTTCTATTTTCAGTGTCTTCTCCAGATCTTTCCAAAAACAGTGTAAAGGAGCTGAAGTGTTCACAGGAGTGAAGGCTCATATTTTGATCTTCTGGGCTGCAATACAATACTGCTGCACTTTCTAATTCTGACAGGTCAAGGTCTCACTGCCATATTCCAAAAGTGAGGAATACAATGTTTGGTAATATTATGGAGTCAAAAAAATAAGTTCTTTGAATATCCATACTAGTTTAATGCCCAAATCTCAAACTTGCAAACATGGTACATAAACAGAGTCACTCTGGATGGCTGTGAATCATCTGTTTCAGCACAATTACAGCAGCATTATGTATCTCATCATAACCCTCAATTGTCTTCTTGACTTTGGAGTACCACTTCACAACATTTGGAAATTTGCTCATATCATATCCAAGGACCTGAAATGTGTTCAAAATATCATAGATAAATTATAACCTCATGTGTTCCAAAACAGGTGTGTTCACTTGGGAATGTAAGGTCATGTTTGACTCAGACAATATGAAGAAGTTCATTAACTAAATAATCTGAAATGTCTTCCAATAAAAATTGTCTTGATGGAGATTATATCCTACATCCCTTGTTAAACAAATAAATGAATTCTAGCACTGAGAGATTTTCTGGCTAATAATTCCTACCTGACAGAAACAATATGAATTTGGGAAGAAATAATTTCCAGCATGGGAAATGTCATTTTTTAGATACCTCTGTGCTGCATTAATTACATCAATCAGTGAAAATCCACTTTAACCAGCGGTCAAATTGGGCAGCTTCCCAAGGCCCTTACTAGGCTTTCTTTTGAAGAACGGTTACAATCCAGATTAATTTTAGATTATGTGATTAAAAAAGCATCCTTTTCTATCCAGTTTGCTTTTGATCATATAAATACTACACCTATATCAAATTGTAAGGTCCTAAATAGGACCTGGTTATAGGGGGGATTAACCTTTAAACGCCGGACTTCGAAATAGTGGTAAACTTGAGCTGGCCGGAGTTTATTTAAATGCCCGCTGCTGGTGCTCGTTTAAATGCCCGTTGCTCCCTTGCGTTTAAATGTCCGTTCCTGTTAGGCGGTTAATCAATTTTAAGCGTTGTGTTTAAAAATGCTGTATCTAGCACAATTTTTATGATAAATGGATGGTATTAACTTTGTTTATATCAGCAAAGAACATAGTGTCGCATATTATAACAGAAGATTTGAAATTTTTAATACAAAGTGTTATACTCTATTTTCAATTTTTTGTGTTTTAATTTTGATGTGTACTGCAAAAATTGTTTCCCAGTTCTTCACAGAGTCGTTCTGCATTATAAAAACATTTCTGTTTGTAACACTTGACAAATTTTAGCAGTCCCTGGTGTCATAAAGCAGATGGAAGCAATAAAATCATTTGGTCTTCTGCTAGCACTGCTTACACTCTTCGGATTTTCGAATCTTTGACTGAAGGTCAGAAGAATGAAAGAATGGCTATTCAAGAGAAAGCTAGAGGGGTCCCTTCTTCAGTGCTAAAACCTTCCGTTAGAACTGCAAAAGCTTATTGCCCCTTCTATTTGAGTGAACAGACAGCTGCATCGTGGCTGAGATACAGAGCGCGATCTGTTTTGTGTGCGTTCGTAGTGAAATTGAATACGGTAGTTTTATTTGAAACTGTATATACATCAAGCAGGTAACAACAAAAAAGGTATGTACATCAAATTTTACAATATATTTTTAACATACCTATCTGCAGAATCTGCAATAAAATTACTGGATCGTGGATAAGTTTTGGCATAACTCATACGTATATTTTTATTTGCTGTTGTTCAGTTAGGTATTATTTTAATTCCTCTATTAGGGTTTTACTCAAGTCTGTCTGGTAATTACTACATTTGAAAATAAATATTTAGGAATGTGCATGCGCTTCTACTAGCGGCGTGTGCGCGCACTTCCACTAGCGGAGTTTAAATGCCTGACTGGACAAAACGGGGTACTTTGGCCACAACGACCTTACTCATGACTGGCACAAACTGGGCACTTCGGCACTTAAAGGTTAAGATCATACTTTGTCCATGGTCGACTACTCCTAAATAGCCTAGAATCTGTGATATTTAACATGTAGAAAGGTGTCATGTAACATTTACTGAATGGTTTTAACTTGTGTAGGACAGTTAACAACATATTTCCCATGAATGCTCATTCAAAGGTACAGCCATTCTACTTCAGACTATTTGCTTCCCTAAGCAGAACATGCAATCAAAATTATGTCCACTTAATCATTAATAATCACAAATTTGTTGATGACCATTTAATTTTATTCACCCAAATATATGAATACTGCTATTTTTTCTTTTTGAGTCATTATATTTTCCTCTTTGGAAAAGCTTTTCAAGAAATTTCTGATAATCCATGGGATGAGAGTCTTGACTACTGCCTGTGATTGGTTCCAAAATCTGGGCACTAAAGGAAATGGATGAGATAAGACTGTAAGCTCCACACATGAAACTCCTAAGATCACTGTCTGGAGGTATATACTATTCTGTTCTATTCTATTGTTGTAGAGGTGTGTTTACTATGCTGTTGCACAGCAATGGCTCTTATCTCATTGTTTGTTTCAAGGTGCCCAGGATCGAGTCTGTATGCCACAATATGCATTCCTGTCACCTCTGCAAGGTGTTTTAATTAAGTCCTACTTTGAACAAATAATGGCCTCGTGCGCCTAAATGTATTGCAACTGTAGCATTCTGAAATTTAACCTGCAATTGTTCTTTGTTTTTGACATGGGTATTGTATGAGTAACTCTCATATGGCATTTTGAATGTTGAATACATTAGCAGCAGTCTGGTATCATAGTTGACAGGCATACAACACTTAACACCATTTCACAGACGCTCTTGCAAAACTGTACTGGAACAACACTGGAGAGAAACTGTAATGTGCATATGCTATTGGCCTGCTGACACCATGAGAATAAATGTGTGCTGTGTGAGATGACATGATTAATGTGGGTCTCTCGTGTCCAACCAGCCAAAGGCTGTGTGGCCAGCTTTCAGATGACTTGCCTATATTATACAACTCAAGCAAATGAAGAAGTTGGAAGATCTTTGTAGATATCTGATCAATTTTGAGTCCAGAAATCAGTTCTGACAGCCTAATCCTCGATTTCAAGAAAAATGTATTATTTTTACCAGGTATCATATCAAGATAAATTATAATCACAATTAAATCTGTTTCAAGATTTATTTGTGTAGGCGATCCTGGTTACTGTATTCTCACCATAGTTTCCGCCTGTAACGCACTTCACTACTATTTAAGTGGTGCAGCAAATAAATTTTTCATTAAAATTAATGATACTACTAATTATTAAATTTAATTTTGAGGGTAGCTTATAATGACAGCTGAGAAATATAATTTTGTGTTAAAATGAATAATATTGTGACATGTTGCGCAACGGACAACCTTTCCCTACCCAGCAGTGACGTGGCGGGTGAGTCAGTGCTCCGTTGTTCCCTCCCTCCACGGTGACGTAACACACAACGCAGCTGTGACACGGGTAACAGCCAACAGCGGTACCGATTGCGTAACAGGCGGGCGCTGCGACTATATAAGTGAACCACACTGCCTACGAAGCGAGTTGAAACGTGTAACCGTCGCCAAGTTCAGTAGTTGTTGTCAGTTAAATGTGTATCAGCCGCCGAAGTGAGTTCTCCAGTCAGCAGCCTACAGTTGAGTTGGAGTATAGCAGCCGTCGCGGAAAGAAGAACCGGACGTGTGTGTAATTGTGTAATTGGTAGTGTGTAATACAGAGAGATTTGTATAGCTCCCGTACTGTGAATACGTGTAAACTACTGAAGACAGAGTGAACAGATTATTGTGAATAGGGTTATAAAGTGTGAAACTCTGCAACTGTGTTATAATTAATTGTAGCCGTTACTTGTAGGTTGTTGAATAAACCAATTAACAATCTCTACGGCGTCTTCAGTACTTAAAACACATCACAATATTATTAAATATTAAATTTAATTTTGAAGGTAGCTTATAATGATAGCTGAAAAATATAAGGTGGATTCTTTCCATAAACTATTCCAATAATTTTACTAAGTACCACTCATTTATAAGCAGCATGGTCCAAAAGAGTAATGAATTAGGCTAATTGCCTTGCAATAGTCTGAGAAGTTTAGTAAACTTAATTTATCTTAAATGAAATGGCACCGAGGTAAGAAGTTTCAACAATTCTATGAGAATTGTCCGCTTGCTCACACAAGTGCAGTAAAATAATTAACAAATAAAAGCTAATAGAAGACAAAATGACTTCAGATAGTTTATAGTTGATATAGGAAAATTAAGTTAATCCAAACCTGTGACAAGGACTGAAGTGAAACTGTGCGCATGGAAAGAAATTACCTCTTAATATATCAACCTTCAACACAATCCAAGTAACTCAGTCATACAGTTGAATAGAGCAGGCTATGTCATAGCTCAGTAAGACAGATGCAGGCTTCTCACTGCAGTCATGAGTGACTTCATGCGAAACTGGTTGATGAAGTCATAATGGACAAGCTTTCTTTCTCATAGCTTATTTTATTACCCCATATTAAGCATTATTCCACTACTAACCCATACTCACTTATCACAACCCTCTGCACTGTGCACTGGACAGAACATTGTGGGGCTCTTGTCAATGTGTGTAGTCTTGTCACTACTCCTATGACAACCCACTTCTTCGGAACAGTTTGTTGGTCCTGAAAAGGACCGTGGTGGCTGAGATGCTTGACCGGTGGGGTAGGGTGGTGCGCGCCGGTAAGGAGAAAGGCTAGTTACAGAGAATGGCTGGTGAAAAAGCTAGTCGTTGAGCGCGGTCGTAGGAGCCATGAGGCAGTGGCTACGCCAGATGCCCAGTGAGTCGGACCTTAACACGACCACCGGCGAGTCCAGGCGTGGTGCCCCAGTGAGTCGGGTGTGAGAGCGCCGGAGGGCCGAGGCAGTCGTGCCTGGCGCAGCCTGCCGATGTCTCCGAAGACCGAGCGCTGGCGACGAAGCCTGCTGGCTGAAGTTGCTTGCTGTGTGGCTTGATAGTAGACTGCAGTCGGACTGAATTGAACTGAATAACTCGGCTTTGGAGTCGCTCCTTTTTATACGCTGGTCGGTGGGGCGGAGCCAAACTCGAAAGTGAGGAGGAAGAATTGATTGGCTAGCGCGCGTATTGACGTAGATGCGGGCCAGGAGCGATCCCAGTATAAATATGAACGTTTGAAGCAATCAGATTGGTTAGCGCGCATGATGGTGAAAAGTAAGAGCGAGCGTTGCAGAAATGCGTGATAATGTGGGATGTTCCCACACAATTATCAAATCCTCAGTCTTTACTAGTAACCTGGGGCTGCATCTCTGTCCCAATAATTTGCTGATCCAGAGTAAGGAAATTGGTTAGATGAACAGAAAAGTAACTCATACATTCTCCAGAGACTAAAAGAAAACTCAGTTTCAAATGTTATATGATTGAATAAGTATTTATGACAGAAATCAGGATACTGCTGCTGAATTCTGATAGCTTTTGTAAATTGGCAAATATGTAAATAGGTGTTAAATACCACAGATATGATACTGAAACAAAGTTAGGTCAAATGTTACTTATTCTTACATCGGTAAGTGACATGTCAGCCACATAAGCATAGTCTGCAATGGAAATGGTGCTCCCTGCAACCCAGTCTTGTTCTTCAAGGAACTTGTCCAAGAACTGCAATGCTTCTTCCAGTTTTGCAGTTATGTCCTCATCGGGTTTCTTTCCAGCTCGTAATGCCAGCTTTAAAATTCATATACAATTTCATATAAATGACTGTCCATAAGTAAATGTTGTAACAGCAACTACAAAGGGTCTGATCTGTGAGGAGTATGGACTTTACTTACAAAGTAGGATGCCATTCTTGGAAAGAGGACTCCAGTGTCAAAATGCAATCTCTGGTCAATAACGGCACGTTTCTTTGGTTCCCTGGGATACAGGGAATCATCTTTGCCATACTGGTTCACAAGGTAGCCGAGGATGGCGTGGCTGTGACACAAAAGACAATTTAACGTATCTTTTCATATATTGGAAAGACACAGTATCGGAGAGCACACAGTGATGTTCGGTTTGCTGATAAAATATTGCGTCAAAATCTGTTTTATCTAGGCACATATATTTTTTAAACTGTCTGCAATATGGTATAAAGAACACATTAAACTGAAAAGAGAACTACAGCATTAGCAATTTTCATTAAGTTCATCTTGAACTCTGAATTACTCTGTCTCAAAAGATGGGCATTCTCTGTGCAATTATTATTATTATTATTATTATTATTATTATTATTATTATTACAAGCAGTACCATANTATGGGCCTTCAAGGCCTGTTATAGAACAGTTTTACCTTTATTAATTATTATTATTATTATTATTATTATGTATTATAATCATCAATCCCAATTATCTCAAAATCAATTAAACTTATGCAGAAAGTATCTTGGACATACAATGTATGCTTTATTTTTCACTGAAGCTTTAATCTGAAACATAATGCATTCTAAAAGTAATTTCTTAGAAAGTTATGTGCAAGTTTAACTCAAGATGTGCACATAAAAATATGTCTTAATATAAACTTCCTGTTATTTGTGTCCAGTTTTAACCAGGATTGCAATTATCTGATGGGAAGTGGTTAGGTGTTGGTACACTCCATCTAGTATGGGAACAAATGTGAATCACCATCATGTAGCGATGCATACCGTTGTGTTATCATTTGAGAGTTACTAAATTTTATTTTCAACATATTCATATGCCAGTGAAAAATCAATATATACTTACATATGATTTTTCTTCTGTAAAGTTCAGTTAGGAGGGAAATATTGTACAATATTCTGATAGAGTTTGGGATAGCCATGAAACTAGTTAAGCTGATTAAAATGTGTTTAAACAAAACAGATAGTAAAGTCCGTACAAGTAAACATTTGTCTGATAAACTTCCTATCCAGAATGGTCTAAGACAAGGAGATACTTTATCGCCACTCCTTTAAGACAGTGATTGATAGGTGCACCACCTGATATAATATCAACCTATGTGCTTAGCCCACACAGTGTGATTATGTATTTTGCATGATTCTCACAATAAGCAGTGCTGCTTTCTTAGAGCATTAATCGTTCATTTTTTAATGGAAATGCACTGTTTTTCTGAGATAAACTGAAATGTTTCATATCATTTTGATGAATTTCACACTTCAAAGTGCAAGGTGTTACATTAAGGGTTTTAATAAAGGTAATATTCTCCTTGTGCTTCATTAATTAAACGCTATGCCATGAACACATATGGGGATATGGGGGAATGGAGGTATAGCTCCACCATTCTTGACCTTGGTACTAGATGGAGGTGAGGGGTCACCTTCACACCACTGCTAATTTACCTACACAGAAAGAGCCTCAATACACCATGGATAGGAGGCTGGGTGGGCCCCAAAGATGGTCTGGGGACTATGAGGAAAAGAAAACCTTGCCCCTGTTGTGAGACGAATCCCAGCTGTCAAGTTTTCAGCATGAACTATCCTATCTTACTCGAGGGGTCTGACTGTAAATAACAACTAGTAACATTTTATATGGAAATGATTTTTTTATTTGTTAAATATTTCTTGAAAGAAGGGGTACACCATTGCTCCACACTCAACTATTACTGCCTTCTGAGGTGAGTCACTGCACCAACCAGGCAGCACACTATTGTTATGCCCCCACTTTATCTGCTGCGGGCTCCATCTCTCACTCAGCACTTGACTGAATATGGAGTGAGACAGTTAATGTCTTGTTTTGGTATGAGCCAATACAGTGGTTTGGAAAGAAAAGTTTTGATGTGAGAACAATCGCTGCAAAGCTATTCTTAACATAGTGACTTCAATTTTCATATGTTTTTCAGTAGCTTCATATAGTTCCTCTATAGGTTACAATTATCTCCTTGTTGGCCTTCACCAAGAAAATTCATAGTAATAAGAATACACCAGCTGTACCATCATACCAGAACTCACCTTTCCCAAACAGTGAATCCACTGTCTACAAGCGTTGGGACTGTGTGCTGAGGATTGATCTGAAATAAATATAAATCTGAGTTCATGTAAACTGAACTACTCCCTGTTACATTATATGAAGGAGAATTAGTAAATAGGTCACAAATGGAAGTAAAGCAGCTGTAATGGACATAACAGGTTCTCTATATGTATCACTAGGTAATAGCACAGTCCAGATTCATAACAGGCTAGTCAGCAGACACGCACGTTCAAAGGCTGGTTTCAGTAGTCAAAATTACGACCATGCTTCTGGTGTGTCCTACCAAAGAGCAGCGTTCTGTTGTGTGTCTTTTTGTGGGCAAAATAACTCAATGCAAAGGATATTCATAAAGAAATGTTTCCTGTTTATGGTGGGAAGCGTTTGTCGCATAAAGCGGTTCAAAACTGGGTCGAGAAATTCTCTCAAGTACGTTCGAAAGTCACAAATGATGCCCAACCAGGCGCAGAAATGGCCGAGACAACAATCAAAATACTTCTGTGCTGCAGGTTTCGATGGACTGGTGATGAGATAAGACAAGTGTATCAATGTTGGTGGAGGATATGTCAAGAAATAAATGTTCTTTCCAGGTTCGAATATCACATATTTTGTGTTTTACATCCATTTGTGACCTATTTACTGACTATCCCTCATATATGACCATCTCTTTAAGTTACAGTATTATCGAATGAAGTGACTGGGGCATGAAGCTAACATCTCGCCTGCGTCGGGTGGTGAAGTAAAGAACTGGTAGTTCTATACCTGCACTAACTGTCTTTATGTGCTTAATGAAGCACAAGGACAACTCTACCCAATAATAGCATAGAAGTGTTGCAAACAACTCTGTCTCTAACTACAGGTACAATCTGAGAGCAGAAATCTTAGGTGGGCGCGCACACAGTGTTCTCAGACAGTTCTGGACTGCCACGGTCCTGACTTACAAACAAGGTTTTTCTAAATTAAATGGTCTGAGCGCAGAACTACCCCCTAAGATATAAAACAAAAAACAAATAGAGTATCATTTGGGGTTCTCACAGCAGTGGTTATGAAGATTCCTATATTCTGGGATATAATGCATATAGTCCATTTAAACAAACCCAATGTTTCTACTGGAGAGAAGGGCAGGTTTGTTGGGTACACAACAAAGCAAGGCAAAGGGAGCTGCAATTGTGCTTTTTTCTACAGCGTAGCTTACTTTGTTGTTACTGGCAGAAATGCAAGATTTCAGGTTCTCATGACAATAACTATGAAAATTACCACCTTCTGAGTGTAATGTTGTGCAGCCAGTTGATCACAGTGACCTCTCCAAGAATCTCAGGTTCTGATACAGTAATTACATGGTGTTCATACAGCATAAGCCAGTAATCTTCATATTGACTACCTCAAGAAACCATGGTAACGATTACTAAACTACATGGCATCATGCTGAGTAAAGGAGTAATATGTTCTGGCTTCATTGACACATCTGTGTTTCTTGTTCCAAACTTGATGCATATGGGCACATGGCAATGAAGCAGAGGGTGGTACATCTTGTGATATTTTGTGTGATGTGTCATGAACACTCAATTTCATGCAGATATGTATCAAAAGGAGTGTAGGCTCACACATTTTCACTTGAATCATACTGACTGAGATAGTAGCGAAGGAAGTTAACTAAATGACTAAACCAGTAAATATTCTTAGCAGACCTACGTCTGGCCTCATGTATAGCAGAACACCCATCCCCGAATAGCTATATAACCTACACAACAAACGTATCTGGCTTGTATCTATCTTCAGTTATAAACCTTGAATGAGCAAGTACGCTCCATCAATAATGCATCTGACTTGTTAATGGGAGGTGCCCAACTAAATTTTCATCCAGGGTAGGGACACAGCCAGATACAGACCACTGTATGAATGATTTTTCATGTTCAATTCACAATACATAACTCTTTTTAAAAGAAGAGATGAGTATGAAATCTGGCACATAGAATGTATGGAGTCTATATGGCAGGTTCACTGATAATATGTAGTTGCAAGAGAAACTGCAAAGTATAAATTAGATCTGATGGGTGTAAGGGGGTCATATGGAATAGGGGTGCCACTACTTCCTGTGGAAATGGGACTGAGAATCATGAATTACGCTCAGGATTTCTTGTACATGAGAATTGATAAATCTCAATTTTATTCTTACAACCCTAAGGCCTTGAATAATATCTCGTTTCAGAATGACTCTTAATTTATGAAAATTTATTTTGGAGTGCCCATAAGTGACGTAACAGCTGAATTCGGCGAGCTGCACGTTTGAAATACTGTCGCATGAAAATAAGCATGTACCTGCATCTTTAACAGAAACTGAACTCAGGTTCCTCGATTCCGCAAGTCCATAGCCCACTCTCTTTATAGAAATTGTGACCAAGTTTCAAATAATGAAAATGTTTACACGTTGTTGCACTTACCTTTAAGAATTCTGGTGTGTGCTGTTCTCTTTTCAGTAAGTCTATTTTCTTCATGTTTAGTTCCAATCCAAGCGTTTTTGCAAGCAGCAAAACAGAGCGACAAGGCGGGCTGGAGATGGTGTAATAGAAGTCGAGCGGCATTGCGTTTAGCAAATGTTAATACTACACGACTAGAAACAACTGCTGTATCAGCCCAAGTACCTGTAGTCCTCGCTGCCCTGTAAAGCTAAGAAGGTATCGAGGCTGGACGAGTTATATTGTCGATAAGAACCATTGGAGTGGATTCCAGAAACATGTGACCTTGGCCGTCACAGTATTTACGAAACGTTGTGGCGAAGTGGAAGGGGACAAATGACAGCGCTCATCTTCTGGGCACCTAAGTACGTGGTGGGAGAAATTACATCGCGTGCTTGAGTAGCGTGATGATCGGTGATCATATCTTGTTAGTGAAACTTGTGGGAATTCCGGATGGAAAGAGCCAATTGGGAAGATCTAGACTAAATGAAAGGATAATATTGAAATCTATTTTATAGAAATAGTATGGGGCGATATGGGCTGGATTTATCTGGCTAAGGATATGGGCTAGTGGAGCACTCTTGTACAAACACTAATGAACCTTCGGTTTCCTTAAAATTTTGGGAAATTCTTGTGTAGCTGCTCGACTGGCGGCTTCTCAAGAAGGGCTCAGCTTCATGGAGTTAATTTAGTTAGCCGGAAAGTCAGGATTAGACTGTCTAGAAGATCCCCCAGAAACGTTTTTCCAACTACTACTGTCAGTCTCCGAGTCAGCGTCTTTTTTCCCCACGCAATCCAAAGTCAAAGTTACTTTACGACTAGCAGTTTACCGCCAATCAGTTCGTCTGTCGCCAAGACCCTTGAGACTCACGACCAGAGACATTTTTTCTCAACTGAACACTTGCGGCCATAGTCCTTACTTAACATCCTCTCTGACGAGAAGATGGGTTTGTTACTATGAATACGCTTGTCCCTTCGTCAAGTATACGTATCGCACATATAACATTTTACTGAAAATTTTCCATTTGACTGTACACAACTCCTCTGTCAGTAAAAGCTTTGAAAAGCAGATCATACTTATCTTACATATCTTATGCTACAACGGCAGCTGAGTCACTTGAACGGTCAACTAAAAGTCAAAGTCTCATTGCGACTGGCGGCCAGTCAGTCAGAAAATCTTGGTGTCGGGCCCCATCTGGGGCACATGACCACTGTTTGACAGTTACGGTATTTTTTTTTATGTGGCGCTCTCTCTGACGAGAGCATGGGTCTGTCTTTTGCATATGCTGCTGGTCCTTGCCAGCGCAGCCTTTTTTGAGTCCGAGTACCTTGGAACTCGCGAATATATTTTACTGTCTCACATTTGAGACTTCACTTTTCGTTCCCTCCTACGACTCGCAGGCAGTGGCGGCTCGTAGCTAAAATCAGTCGGGGTGCTGCTCCAGAAAATTTGTAGCCTTTGTTTTAAAATTGTATAAAAGGAAACAAACATGTATAAAAAGAAAAATTTATTCAGAAACTTGATAAAATCCTAAAAGAACAAAATCAAACATTTTTTACTTACTTTAACCTAAATTGTTACAGTTCAAGCTTAATCTATTCATTTAAAAATGAAATCCATTCTTTTTAACCTTTATATTGTAACGTGTTTCGTTACTGATCCCACTTCTGACACCAATGTAACGTGTTTACGTTACCGAAGACGCCGTAGAGATGGTTAATTGGTTTATTTAACAATCTACAACTAACGGCTACAATTAATTATCACAACGTTACGGGTTTCCACACTTTACAAACCCTAGAACAAAATCTCTTAACACTCTCTTCAAGAGTCTTCCAGTATTAATAACGCGGGAGCTATACAAGTCTCCCTGAATTACACACTCCGAATACAACTGGTGATCACTGGTTATCGCACACGCGGCTGTAGCTCTGTTTCAACTGACTCGGCGACTGTTACAGTACAACTGACTAGTACCAGCTGTGCAACTCACTTATATAGCTGCAGTGCTTGCCTGTTGCGTAATGAGTCCCACGTCATCCTGGTACGTCACCGCTGTTGACTCGCCTTGCGTAGTTACCAGGTTGCGGGGGCTCGGCTATCTTCGGCTCCGCTCGGCTCTCTTCGGCTCCGCTCGTGACGTCATCGCGCATAGCTGCCAGGATGCGGGGTGATTACTCGCCTAT